ACTACCCGTGGATGGCCAAGCGCATAGATGGCACCCGCGGTGTGGGCCCCTACGCCTGGTTCTTCGAGTGAGGTTTTGCTCAACGATTCACTACTGTAGATTTACGATTTGTTTTTGTCATCCCTTCTGCTGGAAGATGCGCTGTGAAAGCCAACCGTCGAACATGTCTGCCTGGACAGAAAACCATCCTTGGGGCAAGTGCGGGTTTACTAGCGCGTGACGACGTTGCCGCCGCTTTGTTTTTTGCATTGACCTGTTCAAGCATTGGATCTGAGTTCACTTGGGCGGAAGAAGCTGAACATCTGATGTCTGATTTGTGGGCCAGGTGGTGGCCTGGGATCAAGTTCGTGTGTTCGCAACGGCATGGAGGCTTGAGCTGCAAAGCCCGTTCACCCCTCATCTTGAGAGTGTGCGAGCGTATTTCGCTGCATTTGACAGTTCTAAGTTGTGGAGGTTTTGAAGCACCCCAAGCAGGGCCAGAGGCAGCTCGTCAATGGTTGATGATTTTGCATGAATGCATGCTTGCTGATTTTTTGCTGATCAAGGTACACATGTAGCACTGTGCAGCCACCATCTTGGGCTGACTAAGACTATAGACGTGCCTGCACACGTCCTGCAGGTCCAGCTCTTCAACGGCTCCACTAGAATGAGGGCGCCTGCCCTTCCGGGCGCTCGCTCACTGGGGTATGTGCACAGGCGCTCTGTCTGCAATACGGTTGGGGACATGAACGAATCACACGGCTCCGGGTCAGCAATCATAGCCGAAGGCATGAGCGAAATCGTTAGATTGAGGGAGTGGACCATAAGCTCTGGGATGTCAGTTGGCCACTTACCTGCGGTTTGGGGTTTTGTTGATGCTCAATAATGACATGAAGATCCGCAGTCTCAACATTGAGAACATGTGAGATTCAAAGCCAGTCTATCTAACTCATGTGTGGCACTGGTGAGAAGCTTTTAGGAAGAGATCGCTTCAGCTACCTGGCGAGCCGCTCAAGCTGGTGGCCCCCGTCGTTTTCAGGTGTCACCGCTTGGCCATGGGAGCCTGACAGTGCTGAGCAGTCTAGTTAGGACGTACAGCCTAGCCGGCGAACTTCGTCTTTGTATGCTGGACCATGATGGAGCCGACGGACGTTGACGAGCTGCTGCGTGATGATCTCAGGACCCTCCTATCAGAGGGCATGGCGTTCAGCGACACAGTTTTGCATGGCCAAGACGGCCACGTGAACGTGCACATGGCTTTCCTTCAAGTCCGCTGTCCTGCACTTGCAGAGAGAGCGCGGCGGTTGCCTAGCGGATTTGCCATCAACATGCCGGAGACAGCCGTGGGGGCTTTGAGGACTTTTGTGGTCTATCTCTACACAGACCGTGTAACAGAAGAGAGCAGTGATGTCGACCAGACTTTTGCATTGTTGCAGGTGGCCCAGGGTTTGTACCTGTCAGACAAGAGTTGCTCAGCTTCCTGTAAAAGGAGACGAGTAGACACGGGCAGCTGCGCCATGAGGCGATTGTCTGCATTGTGCGAGCAACGTATTCGTGACTTGCTGACATCGTCGACCGTAGTTGAAATTCTCCTTCGTTCAGTGCGACTTGGCTCCTCATCCTTGGAGAATTACGTCTATGAGTATTTGGCACACACACTGCCTGCACATACAAAAGACTTGAATTTCAGTCGGTGTTTGATAGAAGCTCTTGGCAAAGACCACCAGGACGCGCTCGCCAGAGCAATCTCAGCTACTGCTGGCAATGCGCAGCAAACATCTGACATTGTGCGGGACGAGGCCCCACCCCCTTGCCTTTTCCATCATCTTCAGTCTCTCTGGCTTCAAACCTTCATCCATGAAGGTGGAGATGATGTGCATGAGCAGTTGGCAAAGCCTGACTGCAAAATGATTCTCAGCAGGGGAGCTGACATGCCACCGGACCACTTGCTTGCACATCGCTTCCTCCTAGCAGCACGCTCCAAGTACTACGCCTGCATGCTCAGCACTCCTATGAAGGAGTCTCAAACTGGTGAGCTGTCTATAGGGGTTTCACCCGTTCCAAGTATGGCAAGTGTCCGGGCGTTGCTGAAGTACCTCTACACTGGAAGCTTGGAGGTCAACGCAGACGGCCAAGAGCTGAACAACACTGACTTACTGGACATGCTCTCTGTCGTTGATGGCCCTGGTGGCCAGAACTACTTGCAGCTCGCTCGGGAGGTGTGCGACCTGCTGCGAAATCGGCTATCTGAGCACATTAAGGCAAACCTTCGGCAGGACAATATGTGGATGGTCCTTCGGAGGGCAACGGCACAGCGCAACGAGGCCATCCGGAAGGAGGCCCTGATGGCCGTTTTTAGACGTTGTCAAGAGCTTTCGCGAGATGAGGTACTGTTTCAGTGCTGGGGTGACTGTACCTTGTTATCCACGGAAGACTGGTGGACTCCGCGTATGGAAAACGAGTTGCTCAGAGATATGCTCAGGTTCAGCTGTACTGCCAGCTCCAAAACTGAATATCATGACGAGTGGGAGCTAGAGGTTTCCCACCCAGCCCCAGAGGGCTTGGACAATGTCTTTAACCAGCGCGGCAACAAGCATCTCTTGCAAGAGTGGGCAGACCGTGGTTCTGCCTGCCGGTGTCTAGGCAGCATTCGGCCTCACAGGACATGATTGGATGTCAGGCTGCTTCTCATGGCATCTCATGGCAACTTGTTTTTGTATATCGGATCCCAAGGCGCCGTGGTAGTATCATTGCCAAGTTTGCTAACCCCGTCCACGTGGACTTCGTCAGTGTCGCCCCTCTTGACGGATGGGGCAGTGATTACCTGAAAAACGCCAAGCTCCATGTTAAGAATGCTGACGGGATCTGGGAGCGCGTTGCAACAGCTTCAGGGCGTGTTGAGCAGATCCCTGTGTATAGAAGGGGCAAGACATGGCGTTTGCATGGAGACGAGGTTGCCACTTCGGTTTTCAAGTTCCGAAAAGAGCCAGCGAGGCCTTGCAGTGAATTCGAACATACTGAGAAGGCAAGGTGCAGGGGATCCGATGGCACGTTCAAATACGTCTACTTCAAGTTTCCGCTAGCTGTCCATGTAGATGACGTGACAGTGCCAGCTGATCCTGTGTTATCGCGGACGCAACTCCAGGTCAAGAATGCAGATGGTCAATGGGAAGATGTCGGGGCACAGTTGACTGGACGAAGCCAACTTGTTTGGGTCAACAGGGATGGGAGGTTCTGGCGCTTGCGCAACTTCTCTGGCTTGACAACATGGGAAGCCAACATCTTCACCTTCACGTCCAAATAAACAAGTGAGCCGGTTCATGGTGCGGCAATGCCATCTTAACCAAGCTCTCGCAGGGTCACCACAGCACAGACAAAACTTGGCTGTGTGAGCAGCCTGCAGGAACCAATTTACAGCTCGGTGATGCATGCGGCTTAGGTCCCAAGAAGCTGAAAAAAGAAGATACGCGAAGCATGCGCGTGAACTCTGCAGAGATCTTGACATCATCCTGACACACCATACAATGTTCGGTCGTTTGTAGTGAGAAGTACCAGAGCTGAGGTGCTCAATCTCGCTTGCGCCATCGCAGCCCCAAGGCTAAAACTGAGTGCAACCCTGTAAATAGGGCTTGTGGTCTGTAGGTTTCAGAGATCTTGCCCCGGTAAAAACGGAGAGCATCTGGAATGTGCGTGGCTATGCCACATTGTGCTACGTTCCTTCGTCATCGCTGCGGTGGGTTGCACCGACAAGCAGGGCCACAAAAAAATGTGCACAGAGGCTGAAGATGGCAGAATGCTTTGCAGATCCCATGGCAGCACGCAGACAGGATACCAGACTTCGGGAAGCAAAGATGAGTTGCTACTTCGCAGAACCAGCGGCAAAGAACGAATCTAGCAACGCATTGGATAGCCTTCGTAGATTCGTCAACCACGGTTAACAAACAATATCTGAGCATCTTGTCTATCGCTGCATTTCCGGAATTAGCAGCGAAGCATGATATCGATCCCCGTCACAGCTTGGTGGCCGCATATGACTTGCCGTCTTAAAGCAGATGCCCGGACTTGTTTCTAGGACGTCATGCGAGTAGATCAACCAAGCATTGTACAAGATGGGGCAAACAACGAAAGCTTATTTACCTGTCATGAGACGAAGCAAATGCATCGGCTATTGCCGCCATCACGCGCCGTCTTCACTCAGGCATAATCGTAGAGTTCTGGAGTTTGATCTTCTGAGAAGGGCTGACTAAGCTTTTCTGCCATGGCCGATTCCGGCATTGAGGAAGAGGGCGACGAAGACTGGCGCTACCTGGTCGATGATAAGTGCAAAGCAGGTGCTGCAAGAAAGGGTTCTATAGATTCTATCAAGAAAGCATGACCACTGCATCCACTGCAAATGACAAGGTCGTCTGTGGCTGCCGTAGCTTGCATGCCTTTCATGTTGACAAAAAACATTGTAAATGCAAGAATGCCTGGGCGAACGCCGCCTCCAGTCGTCCTGCTTTGTCTCCCTTCATGCCTCTCTGTTTTGGCAAGTTCCTGCAACCTGGCTAGGGGGCCACAACGCTCATGCAAAGTGAAAGATGGCTGACCTCCAGATGATTTCAGCGATGAGATTTTGAGGGCGATCAGGACTAGCTGCCCCTGAAGGGAGAGGGTTGCGGTTTGGATTCCAAGTTTCTGAGGTGAGTGGGCCCGTCCTGTGTGTGTGCAGGAAGCAGTGATGCAGGACCTGACTTATGCTCCCTTCGTCTGCCCTTGCTGCCTTGCTCCATGTTCAAAGAGTGTGCCGATGCTGCCACTGCACGCTCATGTGCCCTATCTGTTTGACCTTCGGCATGGCACGGCGACAGGGAGAGAAGAGAGAGAGAGTCTTTCTTTGTGATCGCTCCATAGCACACACGAAAGAAAGAAAGAACGTCTTTCTTTGTTTGTTGGTTTGTTTGTCATCCTTTTCGTCGACGTTTTATTTGGTGAGCCAGCACAAAAAAAGTGCCACAAACAATTTCACCGGACCCTAACGCACCGGGAGGCCCTAGGGCCGGCGGGGGCAAGGAGGCTACTCCCGTCCAGCAAAGCAAAACAAAAAAGAGAGAGAGAGTCACAGCCGGAGGCGGAAGCGGTGAAGTTGGTATGCTGGCACTCAAGGGAGTATGCTTTCGAAAACTTGTAGTCGAGCGGGTCTTTCGTGTTAGCTTCTTGTCTTCGAGTGCCAATGTACCTGCATCAACCGGGGCCTACCACGGCTTTCGTGCCTGGACCGTCATCCTGCTTGGGGTTTTACCCCAGCCCCTCTTTCGAGAGGGGTAGAGCAGTGAGAAGAAGAAGAAGAAGAAGAGGAAGAGAGAGAGAGTGACACCTGCTCAAGCCGCTACCACATTAAGCCCCCTGAGTGCAATTCGCGCCCTTGGGTACACCCTTCCCGTGGGCTGTAGAGGGAAACGCTCTTGGCCACCGTAACTTCCACTCGTAGGTAGCCGTACAGCACATCGGCAAGTTCGAACACTACGCGTCTACCAGCCCGGCACCCGGGAAAACTCCACCTACCTGTTTGGAGCACGGCGTGATCAGTCGCTGCACTACCGGCATTTGACCCGGTGGCCAACTTTCCCTTCTACCACTTGCTGTACACCGCCGACGCTGGGAGAACCCGGGCAACCTGTACCAGAACGTGACTTTGGCAAGGACACCATCGAGGCAATCGACGAACCATGGCGGCCAACCGAGGAGGGGCCGAAGAGCTAATTGAAGTCGACGACAATCCGGCAACAAAGTGCCCGTGCCCGAGCCCGAGCCACGCAAGCCAAGAAGGAACACCCTTGAACCTCGAAATGTTCCAGGCAGCTATCCAGCCACTGGTGGCAAAAATAGGAACGGTGGAGACGAGAATTGGTCAGGTAGAGACGGCATTCACGGAACGCATGGCAGAACAGGTCAATCTCCTCACAGTTATCACCAACACGCAAACCAAGCATTCCGGCTAGCCCACGACGCTTGCAAGACCTTGAAGCTGGATCTGGATATGGAGGACGCTTTCGTGCCAGGCCTTCGACGAGGTTATTTGGTGGTCCCCTACAAGCCAAGGCAACAAGAAACAGAGAGGACTATGTTTCAACGACTCACCCAAGCCATACAGCAGGTGAGGCAAGCACAGCAAGCAACTGGCGCTATGAAACCAACAGGGCAACCCATATACCTCTGGCTCAGCTTCTCACAGACACCCGAGAGGCGACGCCGAGCCCGCTACGCAGGCAAAATCAAGCGTCTCTTGCTGGAACAGGGGGCCAGCAAAAACCACCTGCAGGTGGAATTTGCCACAGGAACAGCTCGGTACCAGGGCAGGAAGATAGCCAGCTCGGCAGCACCGCCCCCCATTGGCCAAGCTGTAGAGCGCAGCCCTCTGGGATGGTTGGAAGCAGAAGCAGTGGGGGGCCAGACAATGAAGTCAAAGGAAACGATCGCCACGGCATGGAACACGCTGCTGCAGCCTTTGCTGCAGTGACACAAGCCCCGCCGCCAGCTACAACACAAGTTTCACACGCATGTATCCAGAGACCTTTGCCCTGAGCGACCACGACGCAGTCATGACGAGCATCACAACGCAACCCCACACAAAGCAACCCAGGCACACATACCCACACAACCCCTCCAAAGTCAAGCTCCTGGGCCACGTGATCCCACCGCTCCCCACAAATGCACATCCATGGGACAGCCTTACACGCCACGCAGCACACATCAGAGAACCGTACCCACGCCAGAAGTTCCAGGAAAGCAGGCAACTCAAAAACCACCGGAGTAAGCTGATTTCAGGGCAAATCCCTGAAGCAGACAGACGACAACATTGGAAACTCATACAAGCAGCCCGCAAAAGGGAGCGGAAAAAGTGGGACCATGCTATAGCCGTCAAAGCAGCCAAAGGAGATTGGAACGCATACCAGAGCAGCATGGATAAGCCGCAGCAAGCATTGTGGGGGCACAGGCTCATCAGTCAGCAAAACTCGCAACACAGCATGACAACACACTTCGAGGCGATTTTTCGGCAGCAACCCGAAGCCCGAGTCAACTCGGAGTTCCAGAGGATGAGGCAACTCCTCACAGCACGCTGCAAACAGGCCCCATACCAAGCAATAACCATGCAAGAGCTCCGGGACATCCAAGACAAATGGCGCCGAAAGAAGGCAACCGGACCGGACAGAGTGTCGAACGAGGCACTCATCTTTTTTTTAGGCCACAACGACACAGCCAACAAACTCCACTGGGCGTTGGAGGACGCGCTCTACAAAGCACGCAGCCCCATAGCAGCACTGCAGGACATTACCATACTGCTACCCAAGCAAGCCCCGCCAGCACAACGGAAAGACACCAGGCCCACTACCCTCAGCAACACCATTGACAGGGCAATGGCCCAGCTGCTGCTCCACAGGTGCTATGACCAGCTCATGCGAGATCCGCCCATCCACCAATACGCCAGAACAGGCAGACAAGGGAGCAAGCTTATGGCCGCCCTCCGACGTATGACACGCATGGCCAGAGATTGGGGATTCAAACTGTGGATCCTCAGGGTGGACATCCGCAAGGCTTTCGACGCAATCAAGCAGACATCGGTCGCGGCCATGATAGCATCCAAACTACAAGACACGCGCCCGTGAGAGGCGAGAATGTGGATGGAAATCATCCATGGGCAACAGCTACACATTATCCCAGCAGCGCCAGCGGCACAGCAGCCCATACGCATCAGGCAAACAAACGGGGTCAGGCAGGGCATCCATCAAAGCAGGCCAAATCCTGGAAAACACGCTATGCTCGCAAGGCCAAGCACCCTTGGTTCAAGGCCAGCCGGGACGGCCGCGTGAGGGGGGACAGTTTATGGACACCTACCTGTGGCAACCATAGGCTCGAGACCAATAGGATGCAGATACAACCAGACAAAACCCAGTTCATAGAGAGCCACAAGGATGATGCCCCCAGCAAGCTAACTATAGGCAACCAAACCATCCAAGCCAAACTGCCCAAGAGAGCAATCAGCGTCTTTAACCAGCCAGTCACCTTTTGCAACAACAAGGCGCACTCCACAAGCAAAGCCACATCCTCACCTCCACAGCACCAATTTCAGCCAAGCTCAAACTTATAGCCGCACCACCATAGCAACATCCGCGCTGTGGGGATGCGAAAGCTGGCCGATCCATCACACATTGCTCGCTGCAGCTAGCGCCGCACGGTACAGAACAGTGGCGAAGGCCAAGGGCCTCAAGAGAAGGCCAGGAGAGCAAGGCCACGAACACTGCCAGAGGCAAATACGACAGGCAA